CCAGTGGCAAATAATCTTATTTACCTCCTCAAATTAAGGGTAAATACCCTTAATTTAAGAAATTTTTACTCATTTTGAGATCATTTTTGCAGTCTATTGAGTTTTGCAGAATAAAAGTAGTGGTTTTACTGAAGAGGGGAAAAAAATAAAATGTCATGATTCAGCACAGAAGGAGCCAGTATTCAAGGCGAGACAGACACACTGGAAAAACAATCTAGAAATAAGTAAAAGTTTCTTAAATTTAGTGCATTTACCCTTAATTTGAGTAGGTAAATTAGATAGTTTGCCAATAGAATGGAAATTTTACTCTTAAAATAAGATAATTAGATAATATGCATTTAAAATAAGACAATGCAATTGTGTTTTCTTATTTTAAGTGTAAATTGTCTTGTTCCATTGGCAAGATGTCACCTTTACTTCCTTAATCCAAGAACAAATGCACTTATTTTAAGAAAAAAGATTTTAAGATCAGGCAGGAAAGGCAGAATTCAGGATCCAGGCTTCCAAGTAATCCACCAGCTCCCCGGCAGGTTCAGAGTCTGACTGAGTCCAGAAGCGTGACCAAACGGTCAATCACAGGAGCGGACAGGATCAGATGCAGACGGGCAGGCTCAGTGGAAGAGGGTAGCCGAGACAGGACGTAGGAACCAGAACTTGATGCAGGACCTTTAAACTGGTCTCCACCTTGGAGCCAGGCTTACTGGGATAAAAACTGATCCTCCCTGCGTACAGAGCCAAAAACCCAGAGGACTCAGTAGGGGAGGAAGTGGACAGGCAAGAGACGAGACAAACACAAAACCCTCTTTCCAATGGCCGCCAGGATCCAGGACAAGAACCTTAGAAACAAACCGAACTGAACAGAAAATAACATCTAATGATCTGGCGCTGAATGCTCAGGCTGAACAGAATATAAACCAAAGGAAACAGGTGAGAGGAATAAATTATAATTAAAGCAGGGAGGGAAAAGGACAGGTGAAAGAAATGACCAATTACGGGAGAGCAAACAGGCCAGATCATGACAGTTAAAGTTCCATTTTTCCAAGCAACCTATTGCTGCGCCTTGATGCATGTCAACCATTAACTAAACTAGCTGCTTCTGCTGCCTTCTTGCGGTCTGAACGTTGCATAAGACTAAGATTCCTCTTGTTTTAGTCTGGAATGGAAACCAAAATAGTTGGAAACTTCCTTCAGTCTGTTATGAGACATGGAGCTCACAGTCTTGATGACCAGTGTTTGCTATTTGTATTCTGACTCCGGTCATGTGGGGAAAAAAAGGGATTTATTATTAGAGAACATCTTAGTCTGGTCCCACATTCAAACCTCAGTACAGCAGAAGTGTTCCTTATTGGTTTCTGTGGACCTTGGATTGTTGTTTTCACACAGAGGTGAGTCTGTTATGAGACGTGAGCTTCTATAGAGAAGAATAGAATAGAATAGAAAATCTCTTTATTGTCCCACAAAGGGGAAATTCTGGTGTTTACAGCATCAAAAAGATAATAGAAAAAATGGTCACAAAAAGGTGGACCTTAGAAAAATATATAAGAATAACATAATAGTGAAGACTTAAAATATAAACAAATAAAATACTGTACTGTAAAATGTTTTAAAACTATAAAAACTGTGCACCTGGTGAATAAATAACCAATATACAGCTATGGACATTTTTACAGTAATTGATATTTAAATGTAGCAGAATATATAAAAGTTGCAGTCATTTTGGGAGGGACTTAAATATTAAAACTTCAATTGAGTTTTTTTTTTAATTAGTTTTTATACAAAGCTGTTTTTTATATTTAAAGTAGTTTGGTTTGAAGTCTAATATAAACAGATATACAAAGACTGGGAACAATTGCAGCTGCGAAATAATCTGAGATAATACAGAGATAGTCAATTGAGTCAACTGATACTTTATGATTTTAGACACTCTGAATCCAGTGAACTTTCAACCGATTTCCAGATAAATTGGCAGATTGTGAACGTTAACCTTTCAGGGGCGACATTAGACCAATCGGGGTGATATCAGTTTAGATTTAGAGAAGCAAAGGGATTCAGAAGGCACGCGGATGCTGCTACCTTTTTTCTAAACTACTAAAAGGATTGTTTGGTTAGCACTAGTGAGCCTCACCACTGGTTGGCCAACCGTACAGAAATGGATCTGGTGATAGTGAGTGCGCCACTTGGTGGCTGGAAGGAGTTAAACCTGTAATTATCACCTTTTGACTTCCTTTTTGATTCGTACTCTTCTAATCCCTTAATTTGTCTCTGTCAGGGTTGGTGGATGTTGTTGTGAACCCAAATGCAGAGTAGAGGAGGCCGAGACGGTTCTTGCAGTTTTAATGGTGAACTAGATGGTACAAAATCATACATCCAGAAATAACAGGCTGGGAACCAAACCCTAAAGAAGCTCAGGAGAAACACAGGAGAAGAAATAAAGAGAATCCAGCACTGAGGAACAGGTGTGGACAGAAACAGTTAGAAGGGAGCTAAAGGGAAAGGAAAGAGCCACTAGGGGGCAACAAAGAGTAACCGTACCCGACAGAGAGGGCAGATCTTTTAAACAATCCTCCACAATACCTTTAAATAAGGCTAAAGGGGAATAAAACTACAAAATGACTACAAAATGAGGAATAACCAAGAAGAAAACTAGAGAGGATAAGAGATAACTGAAGCCATGGAAATAATAAGGATAAGAGAATGAAAAAAACTAACTAAAACTAGACCAAGGAATAAATAATAGCAAAAATGCTGATAAAAGAGAACTAAGAAGAGTAAAACAAAAAATTCAAAAATGATATAAATCTTGACAATACAGAATAACATAAAATAAATAAAAACTTACCCAGAACACACACTGCAAAAACGATCTAGAAAGAAGTAAAAAAAAATCTTAAATTTAGTGTATTTAGCCTTAATTTGAGTTGGTAAATCAGAAGATCTGCCAATGGAATTAGTATTTCTATTCTTCAAATAAGAAAATGTAATATTATTAACAGAGATGGCAAAAGTACTCACTTTCCGTACTTGAGTAAAAGTACAGATACTTGTGTTAAAA